AGCAGCTGGGATGCTTTAAGTCATAAGGCTGCATTTTCTTACTTTGGGGTGAGTGGTATTCTTTTTACTGCCAAGGACATTAACTGACTGGACAGAGGTTATAAATATTACAATATTACAGAAATACCACGTCCTACCCTTGTTCAAACACCAAGGAAGGGTCTTGCCTGAACCCCTGGACTGCCACTGTCAGTGAAGGAAAAATTGAACAAGATAAACCAATGATATGACTTGGTAAGGACAGCTCCTGATGTTCCATTTGATGCATTCCTCAATAGCCCACCAGGGAAAAGGGTGGGATACATTGGAAGGGATATCATTATATATATGTACAAATATAGATACAAAATCTCCTGGGTGAAAGAGCGAGAAGTATGAATCAAAAGCATGCAGGAAACCATAAAGCAGTGAATGGAAGAGTTAAATGTAACAGTTCTTGGGATAAGCAACTTAAAATGAACTAGAATGGGACATTTTTGGTTAGACAGACAAAAAGTGTTTTACTCTGAAAATGACAAACTCAGAAGAAATGGAATAGATGTAATACTGAAGCAATGGAATCAAAGATAGTAAGAGGCTTTAAAGTCTGGCTGCATAATATCAACCAGAATTCTCAGAAAATGTATCAACAGAACCATCATTCAAGTCTGCAATCCAACAACACATTTTGAACAAGAGGAAATCAAAAGCTGTTAGGCAAGCAACCAAGAGGTACATACCAAAACAAGGCATGCTGATAACCATAGGTGGCTGAACACAAAAACAGGAAACAAAGCAGAATCAATGTTGTGGGACAATTTGGCCTAGGGTCAGAAATGGAGCAGTAGAATAACTAATAGAATTATGCAAAACCAACCATCTGTTTATTGCAAATGCTACTTCAGGCAACCAATTGGACAACTGTACACATGGACATTGCCAGAGGGCCAATATAGAAATCAAATAGATTGCGTTATTGGAAATGCATGATGGAGAAACTCCCTGCAAAACTATACAGGAGAAGAATGTCATAATGGCCATGAACTCTTAATGTCAAAAAACAAGCAAAGCTGAAAAAAATCACTAACAGAAGCTCGGTGTCAAAATGAAATATAAATAAAATGCCTGAACAATTTGAAGTCCTCATAACGAACATGTTTGCCTTACTGAATTCAATTGAGTGGAAACCAGAAAACCAAGAGTGACACATGCTGTCTGACCAGGAGAAAATAAAACGAAGGTAGAAATGATATATGGAAGTACTATAAAGAGTTAAAAGGATGAAAGACAGCTTTGAAGAGGAATTCTATGAGGATGAACCTGCATATTAGTAAGTGAAATCACTTGGAAGGAAACAAACACCCAAAGTAGACGGGGTACCAGCAGTACTGTTCCAAGCTGCAGACACAGCATCAGTAGAGATCCTAACAAGAATGTGCCAACAAATACCCTCCACTAATAGTGGAGGTGATATTGATGTGTAACCTATATCATGGTCAAGAAGCTACTCTTAGGACAGAATATGAAGAAGCAAAATCGTTTCCTATAGGCAAAGGAATCAGACAAGGATGTGTTTTATTTTCCTATCTGTATTTATTTTCCTATCTGTGCAATCTGTACACAGAATATATCACAAGGAAAGCTGGATTAGGATCAGAGGAAGGAGTGAAAATTGGTAGAAGTTATATAAATAATTTAAGATATGCAAATGATACCATACTTCTGGCAGAGAGTAGCAATGAATTGAAATGACTCCTGAGCAAACTGAAAGAAGAAAGTCTTCGCTAAATATCAGGAAAATGAAAATCATGACTAGAGAAGAATTACACAACTTTAATGTCAACAATGAAGAAACTGCAGTTGTGAATGACTGGTACCTTGGCTCAAACCATCCTTTTAAACAGAAACTGCAGCCATGAAGACTGAGACTTGGAGCTGTGAAGGAACTAAAAAAGATAATCAAAAGTATAACTATGTTTCACTGGAGACTAAGGATAAGTCTGATAACTATGTATGCATGTGAATGCTGAACCTTGAAGAAAGCTGACATATAGAAAATTGATGCATTCAAAACATGGTGCTGTGGAAAGCTTTTTGAATACCCAGCAGAAAGACCAAGAAGTGGGTCCAGATCAACTAAAGCCAAAAGTTTATCTGGAAGCAAAAATCACAAAACCAAAATCGTTGTACTTTGGGCAAGACTCAATGGCGTTCATAAGAAGGCAGCACTCAATGGAGGGGACAGTAATGCTAGAGAAACTCAAGGGTAGAAAAAGATGAGGAAACACAGATATGAGATTGATTTGGTAAAGGAACACACACCCTTGCATTTTTAAGAGCTGAAGTGGGCTGTTAAGCATGGGACATTTCTGAGGAAAAACGTTTTGCAGGGCAATATAAGTTGGAGAACACTTGCCAGCGCGTCACAACAACATAACCTCTACGCAAAAGAAAACTCCTTAGATTCAATGAGATCTACATTGTACTTCTTAATTGCAGTATATTTATATCTTTCAAACTACAATATTTCTCAAAATCTAGTTTAAAACTAGAGATACAATAAAATGCAGCATAAAAGCAGAGTAACATTTGCATACACAAAATTTAGCTGTAACAATTTCAGTTTAAAAGGTGTCAGCATTCTGATGCTGCCTCAGATGTGATGGATATAGCAGATGTATTTTTGCACCAAAGTATGCATGAAATAACTACTATTTCAGAGACAGATGCTTGCACAATCCAAATTATTTTTGAACCTCTCAACTATTCCATCTTACTTATTTAACTGGCATATGACCAGCATATTTTTCTCTTTCTCTTCTCTATAGGATCATGATGGAGCATCCTAGACAAAGCTGAGCCTGAAAGTAAGAATGCTAGTTTTAGTAAGCATAAGCTCCATGATTTCAATGGACACTGATTTCAGTATCTAAACATGTGCACATTTAATGTTCATGAATATGCCTAGGATGACATTGGGTGGAACAACGGTATGAGCTATGGGCACATGTATGATAGCAAAGGCTAAGACAGTTTATAGTAACAGCGTGATTGACCCTATGAAAAACTTTGCAAGAGCTGAAGTGTAAGAAAAGCGGGTGGAATAAAGCTGTGTGTTGTGTTGTTGTTGCTGTATTCCCTTCCATATAGCTTCATTCTAGTACATTTTATTTTTGTTCCTGTAATGGCAACTGGGGTTAGGATGCTTTTTGGTTTTGCAAACTTATATGTCTTAAGTATTTTTTTAATTTAGAGAACAGGAAACAAGCTGTAATATTATTTCCCCCATGGAGTAATGATGAGAACACTCTTGGGTGATTTGTTGTGTGTCCTCTTTATATAGTGTAAAGTATTTCCAACTGGAACTAAAACATTTCTTAAGTTGCCACTTCTACAAAGAAAATTACATTTGTTGGGACAATTTTACAAAATTGTCAGTTACCACTGAGCTTGTAAAACAGTTTTATATTAAGAAAGTAGCAATATGCTTTGCTGGCATTCAGTGGGTTCATACTGTAATATGCGCAGGAGACTCTCTTGGAGTTTGGCAGCTATTTCCTACATTCTATTGCATAGTAAGTTATTTCAAGGCAATGATGACTTTTAAAAATCAATGAAGCAAGATGTTCTTATTTATTTTTATTTTTATTTATTTAGGAGACTTCTATGCCACCCCATTCGCCGAAGCCTCGGGGCGGCTTAAAATTCACAAAAAGGTTTTGGAAAAATCAGACTATTAAATATGCTACTGGGTGGGTTCACATGGCCTACTGGTGAGGCTACTGGGAAACTGTGACCTTTGCATTGCCGAAGGAAAATGTCTGCTGAAGACAGCTACGCTGGTTTGTGACAGCTAATTATTTTGTTCTGTTTTTTCACACAATATTGTCAGTATTTGTGGTGATTCTGTTTATAAATTCTACTGCTGGAAGCAAAGTGCTAAGTCCTCAATCTTAGCTGAGCTCCCTTCATCTAACATTTACTGCTAGAAGCCATTAGGACTTGGCACAGTTACCTCTCTGCTGCTGGAAGTTAGGGGTATGGTCCAGAGCTGTGGTTATCCTTGTTGTTCTGGTGAAACATTCCAAAAACAGAAAGCTGCCTCTGCTAGTGTTTTCTGCTTTAAAAAGCTCAGGGCCGTGAAAGCTGGGGGCTTGTCCCTTTCCCAGCCCTCTTTCAATGTGAAGGTCTCCTGAGCCACACCCGCCTGGAATGGGAAGGGTGATTTCCTCTGTTCTCATTGCTGCTCACCCTCTGATTCCAGTTAGGATTACTTTGTAAGTTAGTCAGTGTTGTGAATGTAAACCAAACATTTTCTGAGGATACTGTCATGAACTACCAATGCCTTGTCTCAAGAATGAATGTGAAAACAGGCAAAGTCTGACCATACTCTTTTATGCTCTTCTCTTCCTGTTGGCTCTTCTACTGCCATCATGTGGAAATAGTCGTACTCCTAAACCTGCCTTTAATCTATATGGGTCTCAGTGGGTGATGTGGGGATTAACAATTAGACATGGAGTAATGAAACTCCCCCAAAGAGGCCACGTATTTCAAATAACAAAGCCCACCTTTTACTAAGGAAATGAATCTGATGAGAGAATTACATCTCGTCTTTGATCGGGTTGCACTCCTGCTGAAATGCAGCAGCTTTCTGACTCTAAAAAAAGATAAAATAACATGCTTCCCAGGCCTTGAGCGGTGGAAAGCCTGGGGAGGCTGTCTATATTGCAATCCTATGCCTATTTCCTTGGGACTATGTATAAATGCACACAGTGGGACTTCTTTCTGCATAGGATGGCAGTGCTAACCTTTCTCCTCTTTCTTTTTGCACTCTAAAAAGATAGAGCTAAGTCAGAAAGAAACTGAAAAACCGTTTCTCCATGCAAAGCCATACTTTCCAAGGTTAAGGAAAAATAGTTTTAATAAGTCTCTTTAAATTGGTACAGCCCTCTTCCCTCCCCTGCTTTTATTCATTCATGAAGTTGTAACCATTTCATTTCCTTATTAAGGAGTTTCCTTACCATAATATGTGAGGCGTCCCCTTGCAATGTTTTTCCCTCTGGAGTTTTCAGTAATGCACTCATAAAGACCAGCATCTTCTTGCTGGAAATTAGGGATTTCAATTACACCATTGAATTTCTTCAGCATTACCTTGCTTGGAAATGGCGTCCCATCAGTTCTTCTCCAGTTAATCCGAGGTACAGGACTGTCAAACAAAATGAGGTTTTTTAAGATAAAGTGCTTTTAAAAATTAAATGCAATAAAATATAGAAATGTGTTTACAGTATTTGCTAATTTTTCAATAAACACAGAGTTTACGAATTCTAGAATGCTTACTATTTGTTCAATGGCTGTAGCTAGGATTCCAGAGTTTGAATCTCAGACACTGGGTAGGTCCAGATGACAACTCACCCTGAGAAAAAGCTATGTAGTGCAGGATTTTTTGGAAGCAACCCACAGAGCACCCAACGGATGACTGGGCTCATGGTCAGTTATCTCCCCAATTCTTCTGTTTTCTCTATGGTTATCCCAGGGAAGTCTGCAGCAAGACTCATCTTGTTTCCTCTCTCCTTGCCAACTGTGAGCACATTCATGTTTGCTGTGGCTGCCCCTTCCCACACACCTTTTCCTCTGTTTTCCTGGAGATAGCTCTTCCTGATTTCCAAGTTGACATCCAGTGATGGTCCCTCCAAAGTGCTCAGGGGACACATTGGAGGGGATCTCACCGGTGAGCGACACCAATTTTTAAGAAGTGTGTACTCCAAATGTCTAGCAGTGGGAATAGGTTGGATATAAATGTTTGCTGTTGCTTTGTGCCATCAAGTCATTGCCAACTAATGGCAACGCTATGACTGAAAGTCCTCCAAAATGTCCTATCCATGACATCTCTACTTAGCTGTTTTAAATTTAAGGCTGGGACTTCCTTTATGGAGGCAATCTCATCTCATACAGTATTTTAAGCTATTTTAAATTAATTTTTGATTCTTGCTAGTGTTTTATCATATTATATTGTTTTTATATTCTTTGTAAACATGAGAGAGAGAGATAAAGAGAGGGGTCTTAAAATATTTTTGTAAATGCTTTTAAAACTAGTCAGACTTGTGCAAAGCTAGAGATGCACATGTCATGGAAAGGCTCAGCAGGGCAACGTCCTGGGAAATGTCTACCGTCAAATGGCAACAAGCATCAACCATGGACCTTGACTCAGAGTAGAAACGCAAAAACCCCCAAAGTGTTCTCTTTTACTTTGGTTTCCAGGAACAACTGTCAAAAGGCGAGTTGTCAAGGGAAAGGGTTATCTGCATATACAGCCCTGCCATAAACCATGTTTGACAGCAAGCTGTTAAACCCCACACTCCATGTTAAAGGGGAGGCTTGCAGTTTTCTATTCTCCTAACCTCCCAGTATTTCAGGAACGTGGAAAAAACACAGAACACTGAAAAGTGTCAGAATCAGCCCAGTCCGGCCTGGAATTAGAGAATCTCATCATGAAGGAGGTGATTTACTGGCCAGTGATTTTGAGCAAAAAATAAAAATGACTCCACTTGCAGCCTCTCTGGATCAAAGTGCATGGATGGTGCCTCCCAAGACAGTGCTCAGGCGAGGCTTCCCATTCTGGACCCATGTAAATGGGTTCCTTTGTGCTTCTGCAAGTATGACTAAATATTATTTTAAAAAATACATAAATACTTGTGAAAAATTGGGAGGCTAAAAGAAGGTGACTACCCTTCCAATGTGCTGCTTTTGGTGAAAAGCAAAGAAAAGCAATTTCCAGACAGATAAATAAGTAAATGAATAAAATATGGGGAGAACACCCCAGAAAGCACAAAAAGGGCCCCAGGGACCTGGTGATGTTCACTCCACTGTGCTGCTTGGCATCAGTGTAGTGGCTGTAAGAGATCTGAATGAGCTTGCTAGGAACAGCAAGGCTTTTTTGTCACTCTTGCCAAGATGCTTGCTCAGCACTTCCCAGAACCTACAATTGGTCCACTCACTTGGGTTCCGATGACATGACAACCCACCATTATTACAGCAAACCAAGAATAATCCATTGGGTGTCAGGGTGGCTTGGTGGCCTCAAAAACATGACCCACCCTCACCCATATTGCTGTGATGGTTGTCATATTGTATGAACCCAGTCTTAATGAGAAATCTTGTGACCAGTTTTCTTGTGGCCAGGTACACCAGAAGTTCATTTAAAGGGAAAATCTTAATTTTGTCAAAACTCCATGTTTCTTTAAGGAGTAGGAGTCCTATACTTGTCTGCTTTTTCAAGCACCTAAAATCTTGGGAAAGGGTGGAAAAGAAAAAGACGTGTCAGGTCAAAACAAACAAGGAAGAAGCTAGAGGCTCCTACTGCAGAAGAAGTGATATGCTTGCCACTCCTTTCACAAGCAAGGATCTTCTCACACTTTGCTTTTACTTGAAAGATTGCCATCTGACAGCTATAAAAAGTAACAAATTAACCTATTTGCAACTTCAGCTGGGCAATGTGAGTGGTGGGTATTTACTGAACTTTGACAGCAGACACTTCCAAGGATGTTGACCAAGCGTAGCTTTGTATCTGGACCTCAGAAGGTGCACTTGCAAAGGTTAGCACTTCCAAAGGCCCTTAAAAAAACAAAGAAATATAATTCGTTCTAAGTACAATTTGTGCAGATGGTAGAACCAGGGAAATGCAAAGAAATGGTCCTGGAATCTGTTAAAAATGTGTGGTGTAGTCTGCTGCCACTTGTTGGTATGAAAAGTCTGAACAATTTCATCAGGCTGAAGTGAGGCATAATTCCCAGAATGCACAACCCACTGTACAAATGAAAAACTACATAAAACTAGACATATTTAAAAATATTTAACTTCATCCTTTTTATAATACAATTTTTCTCTTCCCAATTATTGCATTTAATAAAAATGAATAGAAACTTACTTTCCAAGGGCAAAGCATTCCAGTTTTACAGTTGAGCCTTTGGCGGCAGGAAGTGTTTCAGGAAACTGAACTTCTATTTTGGGTTCATATTCCCCCATTATACCTGTTATGCCAGAAGAGGAAAAGGATCCTCAGGAAAAGAGAGTAGCATCTTAGTCTTTGACCAACAACAATACAAGAGGGCCACTTTCAGGAAGTGATGAGCTACTCTTCCACAGACACTGGTTTCTATGCAAATTCTTCTTGTACTTTGATTAACTTAGAAAATATAGAGCAATAAAGGTATTTATTGCAGAATAACTATGAACCTTCTTTATGTTACACTGAAATTGTTTCTGATTGTTCATGCATTTCACTAGGGATGTATAAGAAATTATTTTGGTTCATTTTCAACTCAAATTTATCCAACTTACATCTCCCAAACCTGAACATGGCCCTGAGTACAATCTGACACACCCTGGATATTTCTGAACTTGGAATGCAATTTGCATTAGAGAATTAAGGTGCTTAAAAATGCTCATGAAAGAATGCTTCTGAAAAATGTACGCAGACATTTTTCAATCAATGGGTAAAAATGCACACAACTGATGCATGTATTTGGAAAAATGTCTACAAAAAATACAGAGTTTTTAATGAAGAAAGGAGAAAAACAAAGTTCCCAACACAAAATGAAAACAAGCCAGAACAAACTTCAAGGAATCTAGAGTCTTGGGAAAGGGTGGAGAATGTGTAGTAGACTAAGAACTGTCAGGTCCAAACAAAACAAACCCGAGTATCTCACTGGAAAGGGGCTGATGCATATGCCACTTGACAAATTGCCACTTGACAGCTTTTGAGTGAGCACAATGTAACAAATTAACTGATTTGCAGCCTCTCTTGGTCAATGCCCATGATAAAAAGTTACTGTACTTCAGCAGAAGACACTTTCCAGGTCACTGACCAGAAAAAACTTTTCATTTCAGACCCTCGTAAATGCACAAGAAAAAAATCACTGTGTTTTGTTGATTCACACATCTGTCTGTCTCTCACACACATAAACTGTCAGCATGTCTATAAAAACTAGTATGACTCCAGAGCCATGAGTTTTCTCCTATCCTTTGGTTCCTGAAAGGGCATTCTGGGCTGGGGTGGGCTGGGGATGTGATATTGTGGCCTGTAGCATATGTATACAATTAACATAAATAGTGGTTGTATGCCAAGCACCAGAGCAAGCTCACCAGCCAAGGCACACATTGGATAAACTTGAATTCAGGAGGACTGACCTAAAGCCCCGGGCTAACCATGAGTGAGAGGAGGAATGAATGGTGAATGCTGGAATTCTTCAATGCATTACTTAATGGGATTTCCCTTAAAAGGATTAGGCAAAACGACCCTGCAAGGGATGGTTACCTTGGTCCCAAGTAAGAACCCTAAGGCAAGAGACACCTGGAAATTATCCCATCAATTAGTTACTCTGGAAAAGGGTGTCCATCTCTGAGCTTCTCTTCCTTCAATACATAGTGTCAAAGGAAGGAAAATATGCCAGCCATTCCTACTAGCTTCCTTCCACACCTTCTGCCCCGGCATGAGCCAGACATGGCTTTGGAAACTATTCCTTCACTGCTGATTATTCCTCTCTCACTCAATAGTGATGTTACCAAGCTTTTTAATTAATTGTACTATTTATTTTATTTATTTATTAAAACATTTTTATGCCGCCCCATTCGCCGAAGCCTCGGGGCGGCTTACAACAAAAAATTTAAAATAACATTTTAAAATATATACAATAAAATACAAATATACACTATAAAACAAGCCGCCCTGGCCAAATAAAATTCAATAATATTAACATTTAAAATACTGCTTAAATAAAAAGGTCTTCGCCTGGCGCCGAAAAACAAATAACGACGGCGCCAGGCGGACCTCTCTGGGGAGCGCATTCCATAACTTAGGCGCCACCGCTGAGAAAGCCCTCCTCCGAGTAACCACCCTCCTAACTTCTTCCATGGAGGGCTCCCGGAGAAGGGCCTCTCCCGCCGATCTCAGGGGGCGGCTGGGCATATAAGGATGTAAGCGCTCCTTCAGGTAACCAGGACCCAAGCCGTTTAGGGCTTTATAGGTCATAACCAACACCTTGAATTGGGCCCGGACTTCAATGGGAAGCCAGTGAAGCTGACGGAGAACTGGAGTCATGTGAACATACTAACAGTTATTTATATATTTTAATTATGTTGTGAGCCGCCCCGAGGCTTTGTTGCGATGGGGGCAGCATAGAAATGTTTTAAATAAATAAATAGATAGATAGATAGATAGATAGGACTGCTTTTTTAGGAAAAGCCCTGTTATCGCAAAGAAATCTGAAATCTTGTCAGACGTTCTGATGTAGAAATGGGTGAAACAATGGGAGGTGCACAGGAGTGAAAATAAATATTTTCATGAAAGAAAGGTATGCTCGAAATGATGAGGTGCTACTGAGTTTTACATAATAAAACCTTACTTAGTTGCTATATCACAAAAGCATAAACTCATACCATCGGTACGCAGCACTAGAGGTGTTGGAGTGCCAAGAATTTTAGTGTTTGTTACAGTACTGGTAACAACACAAGTGTAATTTCCTACATCAGATGGCTCTACTTTGGCTATGTAAAGATGCCCAGTTTCCTGAGAAACAAATCGTCGACTGTCTTCTTGTACAAATGATGGGTATTCATTGAAGATCCATGCATAAGAAAGTTCTGAAAATTAATAAGTGAAAATTTATATATAACATCAATTTTTGTTCTACAAAATCATTGCAAATAAAACATACAAGGGAGCAGTTAAACTACAACACTATCTGTTTTTACAGTTATAGGAGTCTATATGCTAATTCAACTAATGAGAAATAATTTGCCACAATACTTATGCAGAAAGTATAATTTCACATACACACTTTCAATTCCTGAGACCAAGAATTTCTTTCTGGTGTTTTTTCTGGGATACTTGTTTTCCTTGAGAGTATACGTGCACATATATTTGACTCCATGTATATTCACTTGATCATGCAAAATTTAGAGCACAATGTTGCCATTACACAATGATTCCATCCCATGCCGTTCTAGTAATACCAGAATGGATAAGTCCATATAGGAACATCAGTGTAGTATTTTTTACCTTCTAGCATACCTGATCCATAAAAATGTTCAATGGGAGTTTTGGCATGTGAGCAGGTCTTGGAATTGTACAATGGAAGGCACAATTCTTATGCATGTTTATAGAGATAAAGGCTTCAGGACTGTCAGCAAGCCCAGCCAGTCATGCTGGTTGGGGGCACGCTGCAAGCTGTATAAACATGCACAGGACTGTTCCCTTAAGATTCAGGAATAGCAATACACGTAATTGGATTTGCAGATAACAATTTGTAAACAGAACATGAGTGTGTATATAAGAGCTACTATGATGTCTTTATTCAAGTTCATATAAGGCTTATTATTTGACTGAAATGACTAGATATTAAAATAGCTTATAATTTTTTAAATTTCCCCCTGCTTTCACAAATTTTGCCCATGTGTAATTATGAACTCCATAAATGTGCTTTGAAAACTACTTGTAGCTACAGAAAAAGAAATGAATAAAGTATAATTAGTATTGCTTTGCTTAGATACAGAGGGACAGAAAGGTTAATTCACAATATGTAAAATGGTGAATGAAGTTAAATACCTTACTTTTGAAGGGGAAAAAAGTGCGTCTTATAGAGTGAATGTGTGTGTGCCTGACACCTGGGACGCTGCCAGCCCACCTGCACCACGTGGCACCACCTGGCCGGCACGCGCTCAGCGAGCGCTGCTCCGCCCCCTCCCCCCCCGCACAGGTGAGAGCTGTGCTGCTCAGGGGGAGCGGTATGGAGGAGGAGGAGCCGTGGGCTTTAACCTGCCGGCTGCACGGAGAGACGGACTGCTCACCCCCACCGCCCGGGAAGACCTTCCGCCGCCGCGCCGCCTGGAAGACCATCGCCGGCACGCTGCCGGTCCGGCTGCAGAACACCTGACTGGCACGCGCTTGGCGCGCCCTGCTCCACGCCCATCCTCCGGCACAGGGGAGAGCTGTTAATCACAGGTCGGTGTGTGTTTTCAAATGGCAACCCATCTTTTAATGAAGCCCATGGGGAAGTGATGGGGAATGTGCCTGTGATTATCAGGAAGCTTTCCATGGATCCCTCCTCTAAAAACTAGGTGCGTCTTATGGTCAGGTGCGTCTTATAGAGCGAAAAATACGGCACATATTAAAGAAATTATTAAAATATTTACAGTGTCTGTTAACAACAGCGAGAAGATCAAAATGTTATTGCTTCTCCAATTATGTTTAATTTTCTTTTATTAAACCATAAAGTCATTTCATTGTCTAAGCTAAAGAAAATGTTACCAACTGCAAACAAGCAAGGTCCTGTTGTGTTTAGTTGTCAAATATATATCTTGTCTGTTTACCGAATGATATTCAAGGTTGCAGAGACTAGGAGACTATGAACTAAATATATATTTCACAATCATAAAAATAAAGCAGGTACAAATACATAAAGAAAATCAATGCAACTGATAACAACAGTTCAACTATTAAGCCCTATTTACAATGTCTTAAAATATTTTTTTAGAGATATGCCTTTCAGAGTTACTTTAAAATATGTTCAATGGCCTCTATATCTATTAAATAATAATACGGTATACAATATACATTGTATAACCTAGGAGTCCAGAGACCTACCTGAATCCAAATCTGTTTGCTTGCTGAAGGAAGGCTACATGGACTTCCCTTGGCAATGAATACCAGAAGTTGAAGACAACCACCAAAAAAGTTCATAAATATAGTCTTTCCTGGTCCATTTCATTGCCAGTTTCAGCTGTCCATGTCTAAGTGTGACGTTACCAACTTAAAAGCACCCGCAAAAGAGGAAAGGGCACAAAAGAAGGCACGCCACAGGGTGCAAGGCCAATATTTTCCCCCCAGCAGTGTTATCTTCTCAGTTTTAAGTGCTGAACTGACCATTCCTGTGTCACCCTAACCTTTCATGGCCCCCTTTTAGATTACCCTGATTACCTTGAAAGTTCTATCTCCCCATAGAAATAGACATAAATTAAAGGCTGGAAAGTAAATGGTGGGGAAAATTGTGCATTGATATTAACTTCCATGAAGAAAGATGCAAGGGGCAGGAGTAGTCGGACACTTGGAAAACTGTTGAAAAGGTGGATGGTATTCAGCACGGTCAGTTCAACACTTAAAATTGAGAGAATTATATCTGAAGTGGGGAAGAGAGAGATTTTCCCATCCCTGTTTGGTGAACCTTCTTTTGTCACTCCCCCCCATTACCTCCATGTTTCAACTGACAACATGGCAATTCCTCCCTATCAGCAGTCTTTCCTTGTCAATTTCCTTGTCTATTACCTCCTCCACTTTGCAGTTCCCCTTGACAGTTTAAACAGACAAGAAAAGTGACCAGCAGGACTACATGTATCAGCAACTGTAAGAATGCAATTGCAACACTTACAAAGTAAGGGAGGAGAATAGTTGTTCAATTCCTGGAACATTTTTTTCAAGAAGAGTACCAAACCAGCAATAGTTATTCCAAAGTGCTATCTGAACATCAGTGGAGGGGCCGTTACTGCCAGTTACAGAGGAAAGATAAGTGGCAGAGGGTTGTGCTGTTCTTGCTGAATCCCTACAACCCAGGATGAAAATCTGGGTATGGATGACACAACAGCACACTGTAGTACAAACAACCACTAAAGCAAGGCATGGATTGTCAGGGCATCTTGCTCCTGAGAAACAACCCCCCCTGCAGAAAGCAAATTACCATGATGGGTTGTTCTGTCATACAAACCAAGCAATACTGCATTTTTATGTAGTATAATAAGCTTTTGTACTCCTATGTATTGTTTAATGTTTAATAAAGTATAAAGACAATATATTGAATGGGGTGGCACCCAGACTATGGAATACGCTCCCCAGAGTGGCCTGCCTGGTGCCGACTTTTTACTCTTTCCGGTGCCAGGTAAAGACCTTTTTATTTAGCCATCATTTTAAAAATTAGAATGTTAATAATAATTAATAATAATTTTACATATTTGCATTTTTTTTGCTTCTTTTTCCTTTCTTTCCTCCTTTTCTTTAGTTTTGAAATGTTGTTCATGTTGTGTTATTACTCAATGTTTTAATTGAATTATATTATTATTTTAACCTTCTGTAAGCCGTCCTGAGGACAGGATAAAAATGTTTTAAATGAATGAATGGATGCACACTTCAGATATTGGAGAACAGGAGGAATAGTCTCTTCTGAAGATCTTTAAAGCCAGCATGCTTGTAGGGGACAAGACAGTCTCATACCTTGGTCACAACTTATGCATGTCATAACTGGCAACTAGAAATCTCAGAAATGAGCCAGTAGTGAGTGAAGCTTTGCAACATGGGAGTAACAATGCTCTCTACCCATACAATGCTCTCTCTGCAGCATTTTGAAGTCATGGAAGATTCTGAACATGCTTTACATGTAGCTCCATGAAGGCATTATATGCTTACATCTCGACCCAAATGAGATGTAAGCAAGTCATCCTAAAGAATGTGTGATATATAGTATCATGTAAGCCAATGTATCAAAAGGAGAGAGAAACATTGATTTTTCTTTTTGGCAAAAATGGTAGATTTCTACTTGTACCCTGATTTACAATTTGTGTTGGCCTGGTTCGCCTGGGTCCTAAGGAAGATCCGATGCCACCCTCAAAGGCCCGCTGTGACGACTTTGCCAGGCATTTCAGGGAGAAAATCACTCAGATTCGTCACGAGCTGGACTCCACTAATGAATCAGAGGTCTCTGAGGAGTCGCCAATGCCACCGTCTGGTCCAAAATTACTGGAGGAATTTCAATTATTGCGGCCCAATGATGTGGACAAGGTGCTTGGAAGAGTACGTCCCACCACTTGCCTATTGGATCCTTGCCCGTCTTGGTTAATAAATAACTCCAAGCACGGGATTGGGACCTGGATCTTGGAAGTGGTTAACGCTTCTCTGAGGGAGGGTCGAGTGCCTGCCCCTTTAAAGGAGGCGGTAATACGACCGGTCCTGAAGAAAGCGTCACTGGATCCAGAGATGGCCACTAACTATAGACCTGTGGCCAACATCCCGTTTCTGGGCAAGGTGTTGGAGCGAGTGGTGGCGGGACAACTCCAAGCACTCTTGGATGAAACTGATTATCTGGATCCTTTTCAGTCCGGCTTCAGACCCGGGTACAGTACTGAATCTGCCTTGGTCGCCCTGTACGACGACCTGTGCAGGGAGAAGGACAGGGGGAGTACATCCCTGTTGGTTCTTCTGGACCTCTCGGCGGCTTTCGATACCATCGACCATGGTATCCTTCTGGATAGACTTGCGGGATTGGGGGTTGGAGGCACTGCTTTGCAGTGGTTCCGCTCCTATCTCGACGGTCGATTCCAGAAGGTAGTGCTGGGGGACCATGTCTCTACGTCATGGCAGCTATGCCATGGGGTACCACAGGGCTCCATTCTATCCCCTCTGCTATTTAACATCTATATGAAACCGCTGGGAGAGGTCATCAGGAGGTGTGGGCTGCGGAATCATCAATACGCTGATGATACCCAGCTTTACCTCTCATTCTCCACTAATCCAGGTGAGGCAGTGGCTGTGCTGAACCGGTGCTTGGCCGAGGTAAGGGAATGGATGAGGGCCAATAAACTGAAACTCAACCCA